TGTCGGAGTTTTACACATAAATTGATATTCAATGTTGACACCTATCTAACTGACTCACTTTGACTACTGAACTTTATACAGAAGTGCAGAAAGGAGTTGAAGTTGTCACACTTCATGAAGTACAGGAAAGTTGGGAAAATAAACTATACTATATAGAAATGTATGGGAAAAAAAGAATAGTAACATGGAAGAATATGCAGATTTAATGGACCTACGAGATCACAAAGAGTGAATATGTATCTGTAACATTGAGAACGGTTTTGTATCATAATACAACGAACAATCTCCAGCAGCTATTGATTCTTAACATCTGCAAGCCCCCTAACCAGACTAGTCTATGCCTCCTTTTAAATGACTTCAACTAACTATCCAAACATATGATATTAGATGTTCGGAGGCAATCGACCGCACGAAGCCTTGCTTGACCTAGGTTTCGTGCTAGTTAGAGCTCGTCAGCAAGGCTTCTCTGCAACCTTGAAGGAACTTATGTTCCTTCTGAGATTCGAACCCGCATCATCCAGTGTCCCCTGCAGTCAGAGACGTTACCACTGAGCTATTTAGGCTTGCGATTGACCTCCTTCCTGTAGGACTGTATTGAATACTCTGATTGGACAATAGTAACTAGTGTGATTTGTCTAATCCTTTGTTTGGTGCAGACTGAATTCTATCAGTCAGGTTTGCAATGTGACTATCATTCATGCCAAATGCCTCCAACCATCTAATATCATCAAATCAACGTGCACCGTGATGGTGAGTTACCTAGAATGGTGGCCATTTTGCAAACCTGAATCCAGTCTGCACCAAACAAACAACTAGACATATCACACTAGTTCCTGACTAGTGTCCAAGCATATTTATGCACAGGCTGTCAAAAATAATCGGAGCTCCTACAAAAAAAACAACACAGGAATTAAGAAAAATCCAACCGAAAGCAAAACGCTTCTTACAACATCATTTCATTTTCTCCATGATTTATATTAGAGAACAAATGTTTGATCATTATTTCTGATAGGTATTAAAATGGCTAAAAGTAAAGTGCACGAGGATTTTTCTTGATCTATGTTGAAACTTTGTCATAGGCATCACACTGGGAGGAGGGATTCGAGAAAGTGAGTCACTGTATGGGCTAAGAAATTAAAGTTTGCTGAAGTCGATAACCTACATTTTCAGTCGGTAATTTAATTACACTATATCATCAATAATTAAATACAAGAGGATAATAACTATCAAGGATGAACGTACACTACAAATAAGCAGAGAGTTAAACTTAATGCTTTATGCGCCTAGAAGAAAAGCATCACATGTAGCAGAACAAGCATTACCAATCGAAAACACATAAACGAAAAAAACCACGATACAGGAAACTTTCTTCGTAATATCAAAACCCATTACCAATCAGATCCCTGCAAGCCAATACTTGAAAGTGAATCTTACAGATGCTTACCCTCTAGTGACTGACTATATATACAAAAAGTCTTCTAGTGAGAAGTTATGACCAAAGTTGGGTCCATTAAGTCGGGTGAGAGAACAGTTACTCACCGAGTGACTGTATAGTTACAGCAAACACACCTCATGACTTGACGATATCTGGCAAGTGTGCATACTGCTGAAAAGTTCCAAAACAGGCGGAGAAACACAGCTGTCAATCACTTCCTGGTTTTCTAACTAATGTCAGCGCACGTGATGAAAACCTGTAACTGATCAAATCTCTGCAAACCAACACAATGAATATATATAGCACATATATAAAACACAGTTTGTGGTGCTAAGGTGGATGTATACATATATATTTTATTTTTCTCTTAAATCTTTCTCAACAATTTGTACTACAAACAAATTAAAATGGTGAAAATGAATAAAAAGAAAACTTGACACAGTGTTTCACAAGTAAGTGAGAGAAAGAGAAGGTAAAATAACACACAGATGCACAACACATCGCCATCTGTCTCGAGAAGATTGAGCTAAATGTGTGAAGGGACAACGAGGGGTTCGGCAGTGGCGGCGGTGGCTGCGGCATCGACATGGCATCAGAGAAACGGAAATAAATGACAGAGTAGTAAAATACGAAAACAAAATAATCAAACAAACAAACAGAAAATGCGCCAATATAATTGACGTGTTTCACGATGCCACATACACTCACTATCCAGTTCGTTTTTTTGAAAAATAAAATAAGAACAAACAAACAAAAAGAGAAAGAATGGTGGATATATCAACAAACGAATAAACGTGTTTTAATCAACTAAGCAATGAAAAACAATGCAGTGTTCTTTTTCATGAAATAAAAGAAGATGGATAACTAGATTCTTCCCTATTTTTTCAAACAAAAAAAGTGATTCTTTTAATTATATTTTTTCTTAAAATATTATCCTCAAAATACACTAAAAGGTTTGTATTGTGTGGAGGTGGGCGTGAATGTATCAGTGTGTGTGTGTGTATGTGACAGATGATGAAATGATTAAAACCACATTATACATACACATATAATATTAAAAATATGAAATTATTATTATTAGTAGTAGTAGTAGTAGTAGTATTATAACACGCTAAGCTATAATATTAGGGAGTTAAAATGACAATATATATATATATATATATATATATATATATATACGTATATAAAGAGATTCGCACAATGTAAAAAGGGCCAAAAGCTCGACTGCATGTGTGTGAGCGCAGCAAAATACACAAATATACACACATACACACACACATTGTACTCACTCACACTACTCTACACCTACACACATACAAACACCCAAAGGTAATGAAAACTAGATCAGATAATATAAACAAGAAATGAAAAGAAAAAAACTCCTGAGGAATCAAAGGGATGAAAAAGAGGGAAAGGAGAGAGAGAGGGGGGGGGATAGAGATGCATAGTTTAACTGGTCATTCCAGCATGTTGAAAATATCAATTATTGATAAAAGGAAGCGTTGAAAGAAAACATCTGCAGATGATACAATATGACTGAAACACTTTCATCTACAGACAGGTTAAAAGGAATACAAATTAAGATATACGTATTCTGGCCTAATGAAGTAAAACAAAACAAAAGCAAACAACTGACAAGAAACTATGGAATCTTCAAGAGAAACTCAGACACACACACTCACAGAGATCAGGATTACCTAGACAAAATTCAACAGATACACGCACGCACGAACACATAGACCAATGAATGTTAAAAATCATAAAAATAAGCATAAGGTTGAATGAATCAATGAAGAAGGGCATTACAAGTGACACAATGATAGCCATCCTTTCATTTAGATGGGATAGATAGATAGATGGATAGAGTCTGTGCATATGATGAAATATCCACAACTATCAAAGTATATTCTTACACAACTGTGAGCATGCAATCAAGTAAAGACAATAGAGTGAGAAGAAACACAATGATATAGAAGATCCAAAGTAGCATTTTTGAAATGAACGTTGCATACACCCTCTACTCCCACTCTCTCTACACACACACACAGTACTAACTAAAGAAAGAAGGTGACCGACCAGTGAGACACGACATTCCTTTCTTCTTCTGATTCTTGGTATTTAGTATTACAATTAATCAATAATAATGTCTGGTGTATGAGTGAGTGAGTCAGTGTTTATGGGGTAGTATACTACGTGACACAAACAAAACACGCAGACATGAATTCGTTTTTATCTTTTTCTAGTGTGTGTTTTTTTCTATTTCGGTAAAGTTTTACATAATTTGTGAATATATGTATATATATATTAAAATACAACAACACAAAGTTAGGCGTAAAGCAGAAGTGAAATTAGTTTTTTAAAAAAAGATAAACACATTGAGGGATATATTACACAATAACATGAAAAGAAAAGACTAATTAAAATGGGTTTTTTATAAAAAACAACAACAACAAAATTCGTATCAGGATTTATTTATTGAATGAATTGGTTTAATAAAAACGAAGTGAACAAAGTGTGAAACAATGTAGGAATTAGAGATGAGGAGTAGCAACCCATACGCACGCACGCACGCACGCGCCGCACACACACACACATACAGAAAGGGGAAACAAGATAGGCAATATCAACAACTTAGGAATCGCAGTGTGTGTATCGTGAGGCGGTGGTATTATGATAAACTGAAGAACAAATATTTCGACTACACTATTATTAAATTAAAGTGGGCAGACAGAGTAGAAAAAAAGAGAGGAGTGTACATGTGTGCGAGTGCGTGAACAACGTAGCAACTGAAGAACAATGGATAGAAAAGGCAAAATTGTTATGCACACACATATGCCCAGAAGAAATGTAGACTGTCCCCTAAGAGTAACAATAGTAACTACTAATGTTTAGATTATGGGACGATAATACATGCAAGGGCGCGCATACACATACACACACGCACATCCACGCCATACTAGGAGAGAATCGAAGAGATTTAAAAGCCAAACAAGAAACCTACATACATTCTGCAGTTTGTAAGCACAGTCTCACACAAACTGATTAGTTATTGCCTGCATCTGTTAACATCACCCAACCACCCACCCACACATACATATAAATAGAAATAAACTCAAAGGTTGTAGCGTTGTGGGTGTGTGAATTTATAGCAGAAATAGAGAAAAACAACAACAAGATAGAAGGGGAAAAATCAAAGGGTAAAGGAATAGCAACAACCATTTTTCTCCTCATAGATTTAATACAACAGAATGAAGTTAAGCGCCACGGTTGTGATGATGATAATGCTGATGATGGCACACAGGAGGTCGGTAAGAAATTAAAACTGTTGGACTGAGGAGTAACAAGTAAAAAATAAAAATACAATGGTAATAATAACAATAATAATAATAATAGCAGTAAATGAGAGGTAATAATATGCATGGATGGATGGATGGATGGTACACATTGTAACTAAGATAGATGCAGGAAAAGGTAAAAAGATGCACCATAGGAATGAGACATCAACCAACTATTACATTTATATATATTTATGTATATATAAAGTGTTAAAGTAAAAAAGCAGCTTTTGTTGTATCGCCTTTCACTTTATTATTATTACTATTTTTATTATTATTAATATTATTATATTATTCACCTTGATTATTAATTCGAATTACACACTGAAAATGTGAATAGTTTTCTTTTCTTTTTCTGGAGAGGAGCGAGGTGGGGTGGGGGCACGAGGGACGACGAAACTGTTTGTCTTTGTTGGCAAAAATTCAAATGAGAATGAGAATAAGAAGAATTTTTAAACAAAACAAAAAAAGAAAAGAAACGGGATTTCTCAACGCACTTCATTAAGATTTGTTCGTTCAGATGATGTAGGCACAAATGATTTCAAATGGACATTTCCAGACGAACTTTCATCATCATTACAACAAGTATGATCTTGATTTTCTGTTTGACATGTAGAAATATCCGTTGTTGCTGCAACTGTTCCCGACGAATTATTTGTTCGACTATGTTGTTGTTGTGGTTGTTGTAACTGGGATTGTTTACTGGTTAAATCATTATTTACACCATTTGTTGGATTGCCTATTTCAGCAGTGGATTTTGTCTCGGAATTGGCATGTGCATTATTATTGTTATTACTTGTACCACTAACCGTTAATCCAGTACCCTTCTCTGATGAATTTGATCCTGTTGTTGGTCGGCCTATATGAAGTGAATATGAATCAACAAATACTTATTCTTATAAGAGAAATACATGAAATCAATAACAATAAATAAATAAATGAATAGTCTATATGGATATTGTGTCGGTGATAGAATGCTTGCCAATCACGCCTATGCTCTGAGCAGTGATCTCCAAATGTGTGCCATGTGATTCGCTTCCGTCGCATGTAAGATAGTGATACTACAGGCCTGGACTACATCACATCACTCCTAGCTTCAAAAAAGGCTGCAGTGAAGTGATGGCTAGCTGAGAGTGTTGACCACTTCACTTATTTGGGGTGTCCCATAAGCTAACGCCAGCACGTTGATCATTCAAGAAATCTTAGCACGGATGCAGAAGGCCCGTTTCTCATACAACAACTTACGCCACTTCTGGTTTACTAGACGTAATATTCCGATCAAAGGACATGTGTACTACTCACCAGTTCGCTCCCTCCTCCTTCATGTCTCTGAACAAGACCCGGCCACTAAATCTGGAAGATACGAATGACACCAGCTAGCTAGCTGTCTTTCACCATAGGTGCCTGCGTTCTATCTCCCGTATGTGATGTGGTAGTATAATAGGGTGGTCATTATTTTGAGGTTAGGCTTCGGTCGGGTGCTAGGTGGTGGCAAGTAAGGAGGCGAAATCAATTGACGAGGTTGTGAAGCAGCCGCATCGATTGAGAGAGATGGTTAGAATATGTGTTACGCATGCCTAGCCTATCCTAGACTAGCCTAGCCATCGATCGCCTTTCTCGATGACAGGCAGTGTTAGCTGACTGGCACAGGATGATCAGGTTGGAAAAGAGAAAGCTAGTGGTGATCGTGTTCGTGGTGGTCAAACGAAAATATGGCTTCATCAGTCAATGAAATCCATAACAGTTTGTTAGTTAGTTTAAGCCAGTCAGCCGGCCACATAGGGAAGTGTAGACTGGTTGGCTGTCTGGTTGGGGTCCTGGTTCTCGGGATGGTAAGAACCATTGAAGGCTGGAGACAATTGGTAATATGGCTAGCTCAAAACCGATCTTGGTGATGACCGGCGCAGATGGAATCACTCTTTGTGATTTATCATATCCCATAAAAATCCATTGTTCTTCAATATTACTATTCTCTTCCCCTCACTCACACTTCTGTTTATTATCTCTATGTGTGTCTTTTGAATCTCTCTTCAACCTCTTCTCTTGCTTAGTGTGCTACATGGAGGGGAAGTGGCAACTCGAACTGTTGCACATCCGTGCAAAGTTCTACGTTGGAACCAGTCAGTCATGATCTCAGGTTCTATTCTGCATAAACGTATTTCTTAACCTCGCCAGAAAAAAAGTGAGGTTTGCTGGTGTGAGGGTAACACACTCATCCTGTGTAAACAAAGTCACAACTACTTAAACTTGAAGGCATCACGCCTGTATGAAGTTTTATGATTTCCCCCAGAACGTACAGGACTGAAAAACATATATTTATGTTAAGGGTTGCTCCCTCTCTCTCTCTCTCTTGCACCTTGATTCGTTAAACTTATACATATTACACACTAATGTCAACTTTTATTATCTATGATATAAAATAGTTTGAGGATAAAAATAAAAGAGTGCAATTTATTACTGAAGCATAAATGTCAAGAGTATTTACTGTACTGTGACTGCGGAATATTTGACTGATACATACACCTTATATAAAGCACTTTTACGCCTACTACAAAAGAGGATTTCTTTCAAGTATTATGTAACATTTTAAGAGGGAATGATAACAGCGACAGATGAAATGTTAAAAAGAAAGGTAATACACAAGGTTACTTTGACTCCTGTACACAAACCAGTAGGCTTGAGATACTGATAAGCGCATTCGGCTTTCATTCATTCATTCTCAGTAGAACACAGGACTTCAAGCTTTTTTAAGGTTTCAGTAGCGATAGTGCTGTTTTTACACAGTGAGATTACCAGCTTTACAAGCCCATTCTTTCCTCTTTTTTTTCAGGTCTACTATCAACTAGGCAAACTAGGCAAGGTTTTGGAGAGCGTCACAGTCCCAGGATTCGAACCCGAACACCTCCTGCCTTCTAGTGGCTGGCGTGAATTCTGTCAAGTGAACAATCGACGAATTTTATCATCTAGGGCCTTTGTGTGATACAATTTGTTAAATGAGCAATAGAGAAATAGGCATGAAATCTATTGGCAAAGAGTCGAGTCCATTAACGCTGACTACAAAACATGAATCACTAAGATGCTTACGATATTTTACACACATATATCTACTCATTACAGCCTATAATGTGAAAGTTAAAGATAACTAAAGCTAGAAAGCAATACAGTCTCATGAAAATACTAACTATGAATGTAGTGCGTGTAAACTTCCTTGGAGTGGACTAATTATGCAATAGAGAACTCAATCATCATATATATATATTGCTAAAAACCCAGCCCAGTTGTATTTGTCATGTTAGTTGTTTTTTTTCATCCCCCTACTTACAACCCTTTCATCACATACGTGAATGTGAGAGTTAGAACAGCCTAGACAAGTATGAGTAGGTGTACACCCTACCCTCTACAGTAATTGATATTGCTAAATCGAATTAGCAATAAAAACCCATCCATGTCCAGTAAAATTGAACCAGAAATTAGGTTGTAGTGATAATAATAAGAGTAAATTGCTAATTGCAAAACAGCTAAAGCAATATGCTATATACGAAAGCATAAATAATTAAATTAAGAGCACAAACGCGAAAACCACTAAAATTTATACTTCTTGCTCATTGGCAAAAGCCCAATGGCTAAAACATTAATTAAAATATTACCCAGGAACAGATTCTCTATATATAATACCAATACTAAGATGCACACACTTAATTCGTGTGTGTATGTATGAAAGGGCTGACTGTACGACCTAGTTGGTGGAGGACTCGAACCCGGGACTAAATGACTGAAAGTCAATTGCTGATGAGCAATTATCTTAATTACCTACTATGTAGTAAACTGTACATTTAGTTATAAAGCTTTGTGTAGATTAGATTACACTAGTCTGTGAGTTAATTTAGTGTAACAACCTCAAGGTCACAAAATATATATGTATCACTATATTTTGCAAGTTATAGGTGTACATTGAATTGCCAAACAAAAACTAAACTCGAATAAATTACACGTTACATAGAAACGTTTAATGTAGAGACTTTTGAAGGAGGTTTTTACACAAGTCAGTAAATAATGAAGACATAGCCTACTACTTGATCATTAAAAAAGTACCTTTTCTTTGCGAATCCCCAGGAATCTCTCGAAAGTTGGATGATGACTTTGCTCCCTTCTTATCGGATGCAGATGGATCGCCAACACTGGTAACAGATTTTTTGTTAGATGTACCGTGTCTATGATGATCGGGTAACCAACAATTATAAGCTGATGGATTTGTTGCAGCATCTGGAGTTGAAGTGGGCGGATTAGGCTCAGGATCAGGATCAAATATACGAGGAGGCATACGAACTCGATTAGGCAGTACACCATGCGGACCAATGGAACGAAGTTCATCAAAGCAAGGCTCAGAAAGCGCTTGAGATGGTAAAATTCTTAATGATGGATTATAAACAAGCATTTTGCTCATTAAAGCCAATAAATCCGCTGGAGTATGTTGTGGGAAAAATAGCTTTACAGGACAGGATTGAACATCTGGAAAGTTGTAGGACCCGTACATTGGATTCATACTGGCAATATCTTGTGCTGTGGGTGTACCTAAAACACGGATCACCTTAACTAGTTGGTCTACTGAATCAGCTCCCATAAATAGACAATGCTGGCGCAACATTTCAGCTAATACACAACCACCACTCCAAGTATCTATCGCACACGAATAGTACTGTGCTCCAAATAATAATTCAGGGGCACGATAGTATCTGGAACATAAAAAATACAGTTTAATAAAAAAACTATTTTAAATAATTGAAAAACATTGCTTTCATTTATGAATTTCGACAAAACAATGTTAAGACGTAACCTATCATCAGTTAGTTGAAGTCTGAACACTCTTAAGTCATTAAAGTAGGTAACGAATGAAGTCACAAAAAACTCCTTCAAACTAACAACACTTGGAAATCCATCCTATGAACCTTAGTAACTACATACGAGATGCAGCTGAAGAGTCGTAAACTGGAATGAAACAGATGTCAAGCACTACGGTGGCTTTCAGTGGTTCTCTAAATAATGTCAGCTAATGATGATCTAATTTGACATCCCCTTGTAATTATCAATACACATGTACGTGTGGTTATACATAATTAGAAAGAATTCATCGATCTTCGCAAATAAGGGCTACAGAAGATGAACCCAAATAGCTTCAGAAGTAACCGGAGTTCCCTAGTTGAAACAGACTTTTAAGTTCCACAATCGCTGGTCTTATTGTCGAAATAGGGCCCAAAATAGGTAAATACACGTTCTTTACACCTATCTATAAAACCTTTTATAGCTTGGTGGAAGATTTAGCGATTAGGATGTTTAAGCCATGAATAATTCGTTGTCACATTAAACATTTTTCTTGGTAAACTGTGTTACAAAACCAAAAATAATTATTTTACTATTACCCCCCTTTTTTGCCTTACTGATCTTTATTCCTATTTTGACCCCTAACATAGCCATTTAAATTAACACACGTTCATTGCTTCATCGCCTAACTTTCTGATCAGATTGTTCAGAAAGTTTTATGCAAGTATACATTACAGGATTCATGGGAGAGAAATCGTTCTCTAATCAAAATATCCCTTTACTTACAACTTTCAATCTTTTATTGATAAAAATAAAAAATAAGTACTGTTAAGAGGTATACAGATTCTTAGTGAAACATTTAACAAGTAAACAGATAGCCGAAACATCTGTCATTTGCATAAATAACTGCGCAAAACAAATGATGAAATAGGTTTTAAGTGATCATAACAGGTTCTTTGCACTTTGAGTTCTATAAGGAATAATAATAATAGTAATAATAAGGTTTATAGTCAGTGCAGGGCTTTTACTGAATGGGTTTTTAGCGTAGTGCAACACTTCAAGTTGCCAAACTTCTTAAAACCTCACACATAAAGGTAGAGAGAGAGAAAAAGTAAACCAAAAGAACTGTAATACGCGGAAATATACGGGAGAAGGAAAATTTACATAGAGAACAATGGGCTGCACCAAATAACTGGTTCTTATGCTGCTGCTGGATTCAACATAGAACTTGGCACCGAAGTGCAGCAGTTCGAGCTGCCACGTTCCAAATAGCACACAAAGGTAGACAGGAAAATGAGAGAAGAGAATCAATAGAGTTTTGACAACTGGTTCTTATCGCCCTAGATGACTCCAATAAGGCAGTCTACACAATTCTACGTGGCTGAACCAAACCAACAGTTAATGACTTCATGAAAAGAAACTGTGTTTTGATTTGGCCACTCTTAATTCTTTTTCGATTCAATCCAATGTAAGCTCAAACTAATCGACAAAGAAGGCGATATGTGTAACAGGGCTGTGGCTCTATAACTAAGACATTTGATTACTAAGACTTAAGAAAGCAGGAATTAGCGTGAAACTTAAGCCTACAAACTCACTCAGGTAGGACAATCTGTGTAGCTTAAAGGAACCTGTAGGTTGATCCAATTACACAATATAATATAAGTTACAAAATACCTTGCAATGACTGTGAGTTAAGTCAACTACATAGGTTAAACTGGTAGGTCGGGAGTAATCAGATTGTCGGGACATAAGAATTTAGCTAAGGTAAGAATGGTTGATCCGGAGAAGATGAGTAATTTAGAAAAAAGCTGACCAATCGCACTGCATACATTAACACACCGCCACACAATAGGGTGGAACAGAATTACAACTCTAAGAGGTAATATAGGTAGGTTGAAAGGGAGAGAGGTAGATTATTGAATCTTTCTTCGTCGAATAATCTACACCCAACACATGCAGTAGGAATAACTCATTGCCAATACCAGATAATGTGGAAAATATTACTACTAACCAAATGGAAAATAGTGGAATTATATAAAAGAAGAGTTGTGTGAGTAGTGTTTTGATATGATTATGAGTGGTAATAAATTGTGCTCGAAACGTGGTCATCAGTAAATATTGCTGTATAACGCTGTGAGACTTTATCAAAATAGTCTCTATAATGGGATTATACTCTAACACAGTGCCCAAGTCCTATTCTTATATCATTTGATCATTACTTTATTAACATTTCAAACCCTACTCTTACTTCACTCAAGTAACTCCAAAAAGTACTCACATTTTAGGTGACTTACAACCTAGCATGCAAAATTATGCAATCCATTATATATTTAAACGCAGAAATGAGTAGAAGGAATGGACTGGTTTTATGGATAGCGAATGAAATATTCTGATATCCTGACCAGTTTTTTCATTGGGGAGGCTGTATCCGCCTAAATGAACTACTCGCTAACAGAATCTTATCACGAATAAAAACTATTCAACTGTTGGTTTACAGGGATTTGATTGCTTTCAGGATTTCATCATGTAACCAGAAGATTGTGGGTTTGAACCCCAGTAGGTGCGCACTGATGGAAAGTCCCGAAAGTCGCAGACGGAACAGCTGCCCAGTACTCCACGTTTGTTTTCTAACAGTTCTCTCTAACTGATATCAGTTCATGATGAAATCCAAAAACTGTTCAATTAGTACTTGCCAACGCTCTGTTCTACATCGTGCTTGTGCGACATGATCATTGAAGATACAAAATTTGCAAAGATCCACGGTTTTTGACCGTAGATGGAGCGACATGATCACTGATAATCAGGATAGGAGTAGTGACAAGCAGAAGCAAAAACAAAATGACAGGGTTTTGAAACCTCGTCAGTTTAGGTGGCTAGGACACATGATAAACAAGCTCAACTATCCGTACTCTCTTATGAGTAATGTTAGCTGAAATAGAGTTAGATGTCCAGACAAAAATATGATAGTAATCCACGAAGAGTTTGATTTGAACCATGTACAGAGCTGACCACCTGGGATCCTCAAGGTGCTAGAGTTCGGTAGTTGGCGAAATCCTTACTAAACATCTCTGCGCTAACAAGAATGTCATAGATCGCCTTACTTTTTCAACCTTGTTATTGATAGAATTATTATTATGACTAATTGCACAATTTATATGCACAGTCTAATTATCCCATTGACAAAACACCGTGATTACCTTGTATTTTAATATTTATTTGTAGTTACGCATATTAGAGCTTTTAAAGCCTGATAGACTGAAAAAAGGAAACACTGAACTCACGATCTAATGAGTAAGAACTGCTTGAGTAAACCAAAGAACAATTCACACTGTACTTTAGAGAAATAATAATAAAACAGAACTTAGTTAGACGGAAGACATTTTTAATCATGACGCTCTATGAGCCACACTTAAAGTATGAGACTGACTGACTGGTTGCAACGTTGAACTTTGCACAGATGTGCAACAGTTCGAGTTGCCATTCTCCCTCCATGAGCACAAAAAGCAAGGGAAGACAGTACACAGAGATTCAAAAGACAAAGAGAGAGAGATAATAAACAGAAGTGTGAGTGAGGAAAAAAGAATAGTAATATTGGAGAACAGTGGATTTTTATGGGATATGATAAATCACAAAGAGTGAATGCATCTGCACCAGTCATCACCGAGAACGATTTTGAGCTAGCCATATTACCGATTGTCTCCAGCCTTCAATGGTTCTTACCATCCCCAGAACCAGGACCTCAACCAACCAGCCAACCTGTCTACACTTCCCTACGTGGCCGGCTGACTGGCTTAAACTAACTAACCTGTTGTGTATTTCATTGACTGATGAAGCCATGTTTTCGTTTGACCACCCACGATCACCACTAGCTTTCTCTTTTCCAACCTGATCATCCTGTGTCAGTTAGCTAGTATTGCCTGTCATGGAGGAAGGCGATCGATGGCTAGGCTAGTCTAGGCTAGGCTAGGCATGCGTAACACATGTTCTAACCATCTCTCTCAATCGATGCAGCTGCTTCACAACCTCGTCGATTGATTTCCCCTCCTAACCTTCCGCCACCTAGCACTTGACCGAATATTAACCTCAAAATATTGCTCACCATTTTATACCATCACATCACACATGGGAGATGGAACTCAGGGACTTATAATGAAAAACAGCTAGCTAGCTGGTGTCATTCGTGTCTTCCAGATTTAGTGGCCAAGTCTTGTTCAGAAACAAAAAGGAGGAGGGAGCGAACTGGTGAGTAGTACACAGGTCCTTTGATCGGTAAACAGCCGAATATTACGTCTAGTATACCACAGATGGAGTAAGTTTTTGTATGCCAAACGAACTATGAAATCTAATGATACTGCTCAGCTAATACCTTAGACTGAAGTAAGTGATGCAAAATTCAAGCAGGGGACACACTAGCTGAAAGTTAAACACTGTTTTCGAGCACAACAATAGCAATTCTCGTGAGGTAATTATCTTTACTGCAAGCGAAAATTGATGAGATGGAGACTTGAGATTTTATGGCACTATTTCTCAGTTTAGCTTCTACAGTGCTTCCGAAAAGTGAGCAAATTTAGACTATCAAAGTATAAACTGGGTACATTGTAAACGTAATAGATGTACTCATACTTTGCTACTATTGCATTTATTAGTCACACTGACACTGAAGTGAGGACATATCCAGATGTACTTAAAATCTTTATCGAAAAAAGGAGACTGAAAAGGACAAACAATTAACTAGCTGACCTGGTGAGAATAAAACTATGAAATATTTTTTTTAAAATTAACCTGTGTCAAAAAGAATTTTGTAGGGATTTTAAGAACTCTTATTTTTAGTAATCTCATTATTAACTACTTTTGGGGAAGTTAAATGCAGGGTGGGTGAGTATGTGAGTATGTCGATTTAAATGATGTTAGTTTT